AGGAAGTTAGGGCAGACTCATCTCCGCTGGCAGCACCAATTGCATGACGCATGAACCAGCTATCGCTTCGCTCAACCATATTTTAGGGAACGTAACAACCTGCTTCACACGACACCACCGAAGAGACTTTTAAGAGAGCATGACTACCCATAACCACCCATACTAACTACATTATATAAAAGACCACAGTAGAATAAAACTACATTTTTGTTGTGTTGTGTTTCTGTCGCTGAGTAAGGAATCAGTCATGTTCTCTTAAAAGTCTCTTCGGTTCAGGGTAGGAAATCGTGCCAGTGATATTTATGGTATCGCAAGTATCAAGAATATGGTGACCGCTTACCGCTTACTATCAAGAAGACATATTAAGAGCCCTTTTACAAAATTGCGCCGCTGCCGTACTGATCGGCGCATAGGTAAATTTGCACTAGTAATATTGAATTTTACGGGTGATGTTTCGAGTCTTATAAAATTACTATTGATGAACTAATTATTAAAATATATAAATATTTTAGTAGTTCAATAATGGTAGATTAGTTTTATGAAAGTTTTTGATAGTAATTTTATTCAATATGAAAATACGGGTAAACCTGCATTGTTTTTTGGAAAAACTCACGGAGGTTATATTTTTTTGATAATTAATGAGATGGAAAACCAAAATTCTAATACATTATGTTACAACAAAAACATATTTCTGATGTCGTAGTAATTAGTTTGATCTAATTTATTGAACATTATTGAGAGATTCAGGCGTTTGAAGTTGTGCATATTATCGTGTTTTCCGTAAACTAGCTGCGGTAGAACGATTAGTACTAAAAAAGGAAAATAGTATTTGCAAATATTCTAGATTAACTTACAATAAGAAGAATAAATCTACTATTTATTTCTACTGGAAATAGTCAAAACCTTTTCTGAGAGGGTAAAAAAGGCGCTCAAAAATTACGTTTTTTTGCAAAAAATATGAAAGGGCTCTTAATGTGTAATCTATTTGTGTACTTATTTAAAAAAGCTCACGTGTTAATCACACTATCGTCAATAACACTCATCAAGTTAGTGTGAAAATTAATCAACCGTCTACTGAAAGTGTAAACACATTGAAAGGTGGGGAAAAAAACATTTATTGCGCATGATGATTATAGTACTGTGTGGATTACTCAGACACACACCCATAAGGAAACACTGATAATTACTATATTATCTTACTGCAGCATACCACTACATAGTATTAGCTGTCTGAAATTCATAACAAAGAAAATACAGTATCCGCCCCGTTAGCGCGGGTTCGAAGCCTGCCTGATACCTACTTGGACTTTTTTCTAATATAAAAAAGCAAATGTGAGTGTCGTGGAACACTCGGTCGGAACGAAGTTAATAAACAACAACTCAACTTTAGGTAGACCGCTTAACTGAGTCCTCGCCTGCGCGGTAAAGGGTGTGGGGGATGACGAGAACGGGGACCGTGAGAGGTGCGGCAGGCACATTCTTGTCAAAATTACAAGCGCCCGCCGCCCGCTCCTCTCACGGTCCCCGTTTCCATCCTCCCCCACACAGGTGACTCCGCAGGCGAGAACTCAGTTAAGCAGTGTACTTGCTACGTGAGAGGTGCGGGGGGCAGGCACATTCTTGTCAAAATTACAAAAGTTCTCGTCCTCCCCCACACCGGTGACCCCTCAGGCGAGGACTCAGTTAAGCGGTGTACGTGCTACGAAACCACTGACGGTTGTTAAAAAAATGTCTTTCACTTTATTTCACCTAGCTCCCAACCGCCTCGTCCGTACCGCCCAAAAAGGAACTTCGTACAAAAAAAAAACTATATCTTTATGTCAAACAGATTAATGCTTAAAATAAAAATGTAAAAACAATATCCTTAACCAATCAGCTGCTTACTCACTAAAGTTTGTAACGGAATATAATTAAAAAAAATATAGTTTTCATTCAATGATAATGAATTTTACATTGGAATACACACATCAAAGGAATCTGAGCATGTTATGTTATGTAAGAGAAGAAATAAAGAAATTATTATTATTATAAACTAGCTTTTTCCCGCGACTTCGTCCGCGTTTTCGTCGTTTTTCGTAAAAAAGTAGCATATGTCCTTCCTCAGGGTTCCATGGTTTTGATGTGACAGACAGATTAACTTTCGTATTTTAGTAGGGAAATATAATATGTCAATCCACAATACTGTTAAAAATATCGCAATAAGGAACCGCAGAATATTATTATTATCACTGTGCCCCGAGACCATCAGCATGTAACTCCTTGTATGTTATTATGTTAATGTATTGGTAATATTGTTTAGATCGCTTTCACATGAGGCTTAGGTACATATAGAATGAAAATACTTCAGCGCAAAGCTTCCGGGTAAACTACGTTGAAAGTTGACCCATCCGGCACGTGAACATAAAAATTTCTAGGACTGCTAACCCGGGAAAGAGCGACATAACTGACCATGTGAAAAGCAACTGACACCGAGATCTACTCCAGCAACACGAATAGTCTGCCCTTGAGCCTTATTTATTGTCATTGCATAACACACCGATACTGGGAATTGCGTTCTTTTAAATTGGAATGGAAAATTATTTGGTATTATGGGAATTCTGGGAATAAAGATGGTTTCTCCTGCACCACAACCTGTTAAAATTTGAGCCTCGATTACATTTTGTTGCAACTGGGTTACTTTAAGCCGAGTTCCATTGCAAATTTGTGGTGGTCTTAAATTTCGAAGCAGAATAATCGGAATGCCAATTTTTAAACAAATTTCATGAGAAGGAAGTCCGGGCATATTTAAAGAATTTAAAAATTCTATCTGGTAGTTAGTGGCTTCTTGTTCATCGGCCATTCTATTTATTGAACTATAAACTTTGCTTTCCCCCTGGATATTCGACAGTATTTTATTATTAATCTCAGATGCCTGGTCATTGCGAGGAGTTAAAATGGACCTTTCGCATAGCCAAGAATTATCCTTATTTAATATATTTGTTACGTCACCGTAAACTGACGATGTAATATGTTGTTGGGATTGCACTATACAACACAACTCAGGCGTCAGAATAAGTTTTCCTTGGTGTAGCAGTGGATAGGTATCTTTGGTGAAGGTATTTTCTTTAATAATATATCAGAAAATTCACGATCACCCGGGTTATCTACATTTCTCACTCGCATGTTTATAGTCAAATGCACCGATTGTATATCACGCCACAAATAAGAGCTTTTCAGGCAAGCCCTAACCTCAGCAGCTCGGGTTCCCCGTGGTATTACCGGTAAGGTTTGTCGGAAATCACCACAAAATAAAACTGTGATACCGCCCATTGGTCGATCATTTTGTCTTATATCCCTTAAAGTTCTGTTTACCGCTTCTACTCCTTTTCGATGAGCCATCGTACATTCATCCCATATGATTAAATTACACTTCGAACGAATATTTAAACACTACCAAAACAACTAATACGTGGTCCTAACTTTAGCTACCTTACACTTAAAATCTAAGTGACTATTTAAACTAAAATATTCTTATAGAATTATAACCATAAATATATACAACTCACAACAAAAAAGAAATGAAAATTAAGCTGAAACGTCTGTGCAATACTATCTACCTATACCTACTTCACTTAAAAATAAATACTTATAACTACTTTAATTAATAAAAGTACCTACGCTTAATAATTTTTAATTTGAACGAATATTTAAACACTACCAAAACAACTAATATCTATTTTACAAAATAACAACAAAAGAAATTTAAATAAACTATTTAAAGACTAAAAGTCGCGCTGATAAGCACGGTTACTCAATATTTCTCAATTATTGTCTGTCAATAAGGTCGAACGCTCTGAACGCATCAACAGCCAAATATTGAAGCTCGCTCGCTCTCTTTTTTTATTTTTTTTGTTTCCTCCCAGACGGGGGAGCAGGTGAGAAATCCTCATGGATACCCTACAGCCGGCTGCAAGGTTATGTCAGACTCGTACTGACTAAAAAACACCCGTAGGGGCTGCCTCTGGCCGGGAAGGCCTCTAAGGCTTCATCGGAAGCGATCGTCCCCCAGGGGGGGGGGGGGGAGCGACGCAGAAAACAGATTTAGACAGCTCGCTCTCGGACCTCCCGTATTTTGATACCCTACCGCCACCGCGACCCGTGTCGAGCGCGGCAACCGTTACACAAAAATAATCCTTATAGCATGATTCAGTATTCACGTGCGACGGCGCGATGGCTTATTTCATGTATAAGTTTGGTGTTTCTATACAGATTTCTATGTTTTGTTTTTATTGAATAGGTAATAATGTTAACTGTTTTAAATTAGGGATGAGTCAGAGTATTATAAACGTAAGAGTAAACAAATATGATCAGAATGCTCCGAACTGCTAAGCTATAGGGAGTTACACGTGTTATTGTGAGTCAACCATAAAAGATAGACATATGCTGTTGCGGGATATTTTTTAGACAATTTTATGTAGAATATTTCCGTCATACATGGTTTCTATGTAACTTTAATCATTAAGGCTGCACACGCGACGGAAGCTTAAAAAATGGAGTAACTTCTCCCGTTTTCCCAACATTTCCCTTCACTACTCTGCTCCTATTGATTGTAGTGTGATGAAAAGTATACTATAACCTGCCCAGGAGTATGAAGAATAATTGTACCAAGTTTCGTTAAAATCCGTCGAATAGTTTTGGTTTCTATAAGGAACAAACACACAGACAGACAGACAGACAGACAAAAAATTTACTGATTGCATTTTTGGCATCAGTATCGATCACTTATCACCCCCTGATAGTTATTTTAAAAATATATTTCATGTACAGAATTGACATCTCTACAGATTTATTATAAGTATAGATAATAATTAGACACTTGAGGACGGAGCCTGTAAAGGATCCAAACCGAAGAGAATGTATCAAAGTATTGAAAAATGCATTTTAAAAAACACAGTGTTTTATTTATTGAGTAGTGTGCGAGAAAACATGAGAAATAAAAATGTATTAACCCATTGTTTCAGAAGAAAGAAGAAAGATGGTGGACGACTTTAATGCAAGTGGCTGTACCATTCTTCATAGCCGGTTGCGGCACCATCGGCGCTGGACTCGTTCTAGGCACAGTCAGGGTCAGTTACTGTTCAATAGTTTATGCATCTCAAAATTAAATATAAGTCAATAAATGAATGAAGACGGAGAGGAGACTCCCCCCGTGGGGAGATGCCATCCGCCTGGAATACCTCTAGAGGCACTCGCCAATTCTCGGCTTGAGGTCCCCTTAGGATCTCACCGTCCCCAAACCCGGTGACGCTGTAAAGATCATCTGCGACGAACAGCATACACACTCCAAAAAAATGGATCCGGATAAAAAGGCACCGGCTGACGAACTCCGTGGCCGAGTGGTAGGGTTTCAAGGTGTCGCCTATTCGTGAGGTCCCGGGGTCCAATCCCGGTGGCGGCAAATGTTAGTATGATCAATACAATCATTTGTACCTTAGTCATGGATATTTTTTATGTTTTTCTATATAAATATACTTATATACATATTTGTATTCTATCCGTTACCATAGCATCCCATAACACATAAGCCTTACAGTGCTTTCTTTGGGGCTATTTTATTTATTATTGTAAAAGGCGAATGTGGTATTCGCATAGAAGATGTTTTGATTTTATCCTTCATCCTTCTAATAACACCTGCAAATATCCGTGCCACTTTATTTCATAATGTAATTGATGTCTGTTAAGTATGTTGTGTTCAAGGCTCATACGAAGGGCATTTGTATATTATATTAATTTTAAGTTACGAAATAGGTGCCCTGTACAAAATTCGTAAATATAATATTAATCTTTTTCAGGATTGGGAGGTGTTCGTGAACGTGTCGGCGATTTTTGTACTAGTGCCATCATTATCTGGACTTAAAGGTGAGTTATTTTTGCTTACTTGTTAATTTCCTTTCTATATCTATAATAAGTTATAATAACAGTGTTTTAAAATTTGCTCATATGCTAGGCTAAGGGTTTAAAAATTTTGGTGTATATACCTTAATTTTTTACCTCCAGCCTCAAAATTTGTTAACTTTTTCTTACCATGTTGTGAGATGGAATGAAAGGGGTCTGATAACGACGGGTTTTCTGCCGGGTCTAGGCATGATTTCTACCCGGGCTAGTGCTAAGCTTAAGATTTCATGAGCACGGTTTAAACGTTAAAAAAACCCAAACCGTCGCCGGCTCCGGTGTCGTTACCAAAGCTCCATAGCCACGTTTACCAAACGGCCGGAGGTGGACACGGTTTAAAACCGTGCCTGGACCCGGCAGAAAACCGACTCGTTAAGAAGCGCCCGTAAACTATTCTGCCGTATCAACTATCATTGCAATTGGACTCTATTTAAAATCAACTGAAGTAGGGTAATATGTTAAGTCTTCTGTAAAAAAACATGGTTAAAACTTCTGTAGAGTCTCGGATGTTTTCTCAATTCAATGTTTTATCAAATTGTGTTCTATATTCATACCTAAAGCTGATGTATTGATGATGTTTAAATCGTCAATACTGACAAACTCAAACCCAAAAAAATATTCAGTTTAGGCTGTTACAAGCACTCATGAAAGTCTAGAAGCTACGCCATCAGTTCGTAAATCTACAGCGGGAGACCTTGTACAGAGAAGAGTCGACAAGAAACTCAGTAAGGGCTGTTTTTTCTCCCTTTATTAATTATTTATTTTATTTATTTTATTTTATTTTATTCGGAAAACGTACAGTGTTTTTTTAACAGCAATTATAACTAAATATAAATCTAGACACCATTAACACGTTTTCGCATATGACTAACAATACAAAGCTCGTCGCTGAAACCATACAAGCAGTGCCAAGTGAAAAATACAGGAAAGTAATAAGACTAGAGATAATTGGGATATAACAGCAAGCGACGCTTAAAGCATGCATTAATTAAGCTAGGCAGTTTGAGAATCAGCAAACCAAGAACTGACTAAGATATTTTTAAGTATTTGTGGTTTAGTTATAAATAAGTCAAGTTGGGGGAAACTTACTAATTTGTTAGTTTCTTTAGCAGACCTTACGAAAAAAGAGTTTTGTCTGTAATTAGTACCACATTGGGGAACATCTAAATGTACAAATCGCCTTACGGTTTTGTTAGGGATTTTTATACCTATTTTTGTTAGTGCGTCCGGCGAGTCAATGAGACTTTGAGCGATTTTTGCCAGTAGAAATACATCTGCTATTTTTCTTCGCTCATTCAGAGGCAGGATGTGATGTCTACGACACCTTTCCTCGTAGCTAGAGTCATAAGTCCTACTTTTGTATTGTAAATACCTTAAGAATATACAGAGTCGTCTAGTTGAAAAATGACTTCGGAGATGATTTAAGAAGTCATCATTCATTAAACATAATGTGAAATATACATTAATTGTTCACCTATGTTCACTATTGTAGGAGTAGGAAGTGTGATTTTATAGAATTATCTGTCGTGTTATTTTGCTACCTGTGTACATCGTTACGAATGTCACGTCACGTCACTTAAACGGTTTTAAAAAGATAAAAATCTGTCATTTTCTCGGTCTCCAAGTCATCAAGCGTGTCGAACGCTGTAATAAACCCAAGTCACACATCAAGCGACAATATTTTGCAAATTTTAGCAATGCTCTTTTTTCAATATTGATTTTTTGTGATTGGATGAATGTTCGTTTAATAAATATTCTTCTCTGATAACTCTGATTGGATATCAGAGTAGAATACCTAGTTGATTTATATACGATTCCGCGATATATTAACTACTCTGACATGTTAATTCAATCACACTCTCTTTACACTTTTCCACATTTTCAAATATTCACCATGAAGTATCAATATAGAACGAGAGTGAACCAAAAATGTCTTCAGTACTTTAAAAAATTATAAAGCTCATGACAGTTTGTTCGGTTGACCTCGCAGAACTCAAGAACAACTGGTTCGCATTCAAAAACTCTGTTTGCGTTGGATAGTCCATTTATCTAGGAAGGCTATATGATATCATGCAAAGTTGTTACCCGCTGGTCACTACAATAATAGCAGAGGATCAATAAAATGTTGCAACAACGGGAAAAATATTCTTTATTACAAACTTCCGTTGCGTGCGCTGCGTAAACGCTCTAATGCAAGTTAGTAAATTTTTTCCTCATATTACCACGGGTGAAACCGCGGGGCACAGCTAGCTTTCTTTCTCTTTAAACCGTTTTTCTGAATTTGGTATTGTTAATTGTATACGGTCACGTATTACTAGTAACAAGTAAATCATAATATATCATAGAAACCTACTCCTATTTCATTGTGTACCTGTTTGAACAAACTCTTTAGAAGTAATTACTGACTTTAATATTTGAAAGTCAATAATAAATATGTTAACAATAGATACATATAAATAACAAAAAAATAGAAACTACTTGATGGCTGAAGTTTACAATCCAAATTACCTCAACGCACTTATTACTTAAGTATCTGTTTTACGCTACGTTTATATTATATCTTGTTGTGTAGACAGTCTTAAAAGTAATTGCTGTATTGTTGTATGAGCATGATGATGCTTCATATATCGGACTTCGAGAAATAATGCGTCGATTACGGTACAGTGACCTTCGCTTTTGTGGTTCCTTATCGGTTCGCAAGTCTACGGCGCGAGACCTTGTACTGAGAAGAACCGGCAAGAAACTCAGCAAGGGCTGCTTTTTTCTCCCTGTATTATTTAATACAGTGTCGTCAGATTGAAAGCTGGCATTAAACTTATAATCATGTATTGAGGTCAAATTCCATCACATAATGTAAAAAAAGGTAACAATAAACATAAAAAAGCCTCGAAATATCCAGTCAACAATTTTAAAAATACATGAGCAAGTTTAAAAAAGACACTAAGTGCAAAGTTCTCTTCAATACTCCTCTTGAGTAGACAAGTTTAATATAATAACTACTGAAAAAATTCTGAAGATAACCATTACGTTCAGGCGGTTTTATCATTTAAATATTGTTTAACAATATAATTTCCTTTCTTAAGCAAGCAATTTTAAATGTGTGTTTTAAAAACAATTAAAGACACATCAAGAATATCACTGGGAATCTTATTATAGAAATGTATACCTTGATCCATAAATGAGCCATGAACTTTGTGTAACCTGTACAATGGTAACTTAAGTTTGTTTTTATTCCTAGTATTAAAAGGATGTACGGGTCTGTGTTTAAGATACAAGTTTATATTTTTTCTAACAAAAACTATACAATTGTAGATAAATTGTCAAAATCACGATTTCTTTAAATTATTCTTTGAGAGATTCTCTTGGGCTTAGTTGTAGTAGTTATAAATAGCTCTTACAGCACGTTTTTGCAAAATAAATATCGTTTCGATATCTGCTGCTGTTCCGCAGAGAATAATGCCATACGATACAATACTGTAAAAGTAACTAAAGTATACAGTCCTAGCAGTATCGACATCAAAAAGTAGCCTCATCTTTCGTAAGGCATAAGCCGCTGAACTAAGGTTACCAGTTAAAAGTGATATATGAGGATTCCACTGCAATTTTGAGTCAATAGTTTTACCCAAGCATAACGTTGATTCAACGAAATCTAGCTTTTCATTGTTTAATTTATTTTACTGGTTCGTTTCTAAAATTTGGTAAAGCATTTTTTTGCATTTAGTTTTAAATTATTTACAATAAACTAGTGCAATACTTGTAAGAGAGCATCATTTACATCGTTATAATTATTCTTGGACCTGTTAACCTTAAATAATAAAGATTTGTCTTCAGGAAACAATTCAATCTCACAAGATTTCTCCACAAAAATGGCAAATCGTTTATATACAGTAAAACTAGGAACGGACCCAAAATAGAACCCTGGGGAACACCCATTAACACATGGGATCCAGGTGACTTGACACCATTTACCTCTACTGTCTGAACTCTAGAACTGAGATACGACAATAGCATTTTTTGGGCTGCGCCTTTGACTTCTCAGTGACTCAACTTCATCACCAGCGTCCGATGCTCACCGCAATCAAAAGCCTTGGACAAGCCTCAGAATACTCCAAGAACATTCTCCAATTTTATATTTATATTTTGTATTTCATATTCAGTAAAATTCACAAAAGCGTGCGTTCTCGATTTATCAAATCGACCGACGATGTATACAGAGATAGATATTAAATACATATAATGGTATTAAAGAATCAAAAATCATATAAAAAGTATTAAATAATTTTACGTCTCATTTACGGTATAGTGTAATTGTACTATCGTGTAACCTCATTGTTTGCGTGCAAGTCAATATTAAAATGATTCATAACAATGCTTTGCCAGTCACATCAAAATTATAGCATATTTTCTCGTCGGTGTCATTAACATTTTGCTCTACGTACATTTGCTAAGATTGTTGAAACAGATGTTTTAAAAGATGCATTCGCTAATAAAATTTGAATAATAAAAAGCTGTTAGCGGAAATGAACATTGTCTACGACTGCTAACTTATATTCAGTCGCCGACCTATTGGTTTCTATACCAATGATAATTGAAGTAACAATTACGGTAAGACCTAAAGATGACAATCAACTTTGATTAGAGTCTACCATTTTTTTAGGGATCCAAGTCAACAATAAGAAGTAGTTTTGTATGACCCTCCGCAGCTTAGTTCAGAGACATTTAGTTTTTTTTTTTAAGTTTAAAGGGTAGCCAACCAACGTAAGTCCCGCCTGATGGTAAGCGTCCATAATAGCCTATAAACGCTTGCGATACCAATAATATCACTCGCACCGTTGCTTATCTTGATCCAATCCCTTATCCCCGTGGAGCCCTGGAACCTTACTCACCGACAGAAACACAACACCACCAAATATGTCGGCGAAGGGACCCGTAGAATTTAATGTCCGTATTGTAGGGATCGAAGAATT